GTCCCCGGCCCCGAGCCCGGAGCCCTCGCGGGAGGGCTGGGCGGGCCCGGGGCGCCGGGCGTTGGTGATGGCCGTGGGTCTCGCCGCCCCCGCCTGGAAGTCCACGTGGGTGTAGCTGTGGTGTGCCAAAACCGGGCGAGAAGTAGCCGGGACAGGTCATTACCCGGGAGTTCCGTGCTTCTTCCCGCCCCACTTCGGCGCGCCCGGGCGTGACTGAAAGCGTGGGAGGGGGAGAATGTGCATTGTCCCACGAATCGGGAGTAAGCTGGGAAACACGAAGATTGTTTTTCGTAATGAGGGCATAGAGTTACTTTTAATATTTACTTTGATACCTAAGAAAGCGTATGCTCTCCAAATTGTCTTTCCATTTCCCCTGTCATAATGAATGATGCGTGGCTGAGACTGTTGAGGTGTTTTAAAAACTGGATGTCCCCAGGATGCTGCAGTATTGTCAGTTGAAATGATTTTTGTGTCTTAAAAAAAAAAGTTGTGTATAGGGACTTGAAAAATATATTTTCTAGCATAAGACAGGTAATGAATTTATGCAGGATTTCAGCGTCAGTATTGAAGTAATCAGATTTCAGCAGTTGGTAGCAGCCTTGGGAGTAAATGGTCACTTGTCCACATGCTTGAGGTCTTAGCTGTTTATGTTGAGCTAGTTCTCTAGGGTCAGCTGACTGCTAAGTATAATTCGTCTTAGACGTTGTAGACGTTGTAGACTTAATAAGCAGAGGTAAGAGCTAACATTTAGCCCAAATCCCTTAGCAAGTTTTCTCTACCTTTTTTGTGGCTCTTTCTGTTACAATTAAGCTCACCTTTGTCTGAAGAGCTTTACTTGGTACAATAAGGTACTAGCTTTATTTACAGTATTAATGCATGTTAGTTTTTATGCATTATATATACATTATCATATATTGCCTTATATATATATGTTTGACTCTGACGTTGGAAGAATTAGGAACAATAATGGGTAGTGTTGAGTACTGACGGTTTGCAAGGCCTGTGCCAAATGGTACATGCTTTATCTCATTTAATCTTCTGGGGTAACTTTTGCATAAGCATAGGTTGCTCAAAAATTTTTGAATACGTGGGTTTGCTTTGAATAGGTCCAAATGTGGAGTATGTACATTAATTACTTCTGTTTCTGCTTTTGTGAAAAAGGGTGTTGGCAATATAAAGTGACTCATTGAGTAAATTAATGTATTTTTCAAGTTGGAAGATGGCTTTAAAATTGCATAGAACTGCAAGTAGTCTCTTTATTTGGGGATTCAATAGTTTCTAAAGCACTGTGTTTCATTTATCCAAGTTCCCATAACACGCCATCATCATCCAATAAACAGGCTATTCTTGGACATTGGAAGAAGGTGAATGTTGGGTAAGCCATAATGGCCCTTCTGAAAGGCTCCCTCCTACCATATTTTTTCTAAGTGGCATTCCTAATTAGGGGTTGACAAATGACAATGAAACAGGAAGGGTAATTCTCCAATACCAGACCAAGGAAATAAAAATCAGCTGGTTGGTTATTACTTTGTTGATGAGTCTAACATTTGTGGGTATATGAAGAATGTTAGATTATCTGCATTGTAGGGTCTCTACCTAATTTTTCATTTTGC